GAGAAGTTAACCTGCTGACGTGAACGGGCAGAAATGTGACAGTGAGTGTTTCTTACTGCATCCTTCTCCTCCTGCAGCCGCTGCAGCTCTTCTTGTCGGACCAGTTCTTCCTGAATCTCCTGTGCGATCTCATTGTCTTGCCGCGCACTGGTAGTCCCACAGATTTGTGTTATAAACAAGGAAAAAAAAAAAGAGAAAAAGAAAACGAGACAGCTGTTTACGACAGACAGAACGGTTGTGCACATTTTAAGTTCTTGTGTGGACAAATGCTCATTTTTCATGTAAATTATTTCCACATACGTTCTCTATTTTATTAAACACTTACAATTATTCAAGTATTAGTCATATAAATGCCATTCTAATGAATCATGTTATGAAGKGTTAATGTGCTTTACAGTTGTCCAGCTTGTAGTGAGACGTAACAGAAGGGCGGGTCCTGGTAGGAGCTTGTTTGAAAAGATGGCTCACTTATTTCTGCACAACAGGAATTTGACTACAGCAGCATATTAGTGGAAAGCTTCATGCAAACATCACTTCTGAACACTAAATTAAATGAATTTCTTAATGACAGCACGTGTAACCAACCTGAGCATTATCARATCAGGAGGGCTTAAAACCTTACAGTCACACTTCAGTGTCAGTTTAACAGAAATAAGTGCTGATGTGTGTTTGTGTGCATGTTTCAGTCCACAGTGAGTGGGTGTACATGAAGTGGCAGAAAAGATTGCAGGGTGAGCATCTGGCCTCTCTCTGGGGTTCGATCTCATTACTCATAACTGACTTTTTGTAAACTCAAAGTTTGTCCTTAAAGCGAGGCACTACTATGCTTTAAAGTGCGTTTACTTTTTTTTTTGCTTGTGCTGCTAAATTAAATATATGCTGCTGCACAACTTCACATGTGCAGCTGGAGTTCACTCACACAGGAGCGTGAATCACAACTCACAGCTGAAGAACATAATCCCTAGACCTTGGAAATTGTTTGTTTAGGTCAGGGCTATTCAACTGGCGGCCCGTGGGCCACATCCGGCCCACGAATGACCAAAGTCCGGCCCGCCAATTGGTTCATTCATCTCTTAAGCCTAAACCCCCGGTTTTCTACTTTAATTACTCGAAGTTATTTTAGTTAAACATAGACATGTTTGGTATCTA